TGGGATTCAAGGAGTTTTTGCTCATGAAGCTGCGAAAAGGGAGTGAATGGCTGGCTACCCTATCAAAACATATACTACGTATTAAACATGGTTCTCAACGGAAGTGACATATGCATGCATGTAAGTCAGTGACTACCTTTGACAATATGGTAACATGTTGCAAATCTTTAGTGTTCTGAGCGTTAGGTGCAAAACCCTCCTACAAAAAAATGTTTATAGCATCATTTTTATGTCAATGACAAAGAAGATGAGGGCAGATCAGGTAGGTAAAGAGAGTCCATGAAAAGCCAACCTTCATACTATTCAAATTGGAAATGAAGGAAAATAGGTTTCTCATTTGGTTTCACCAACGAAGACAGATCAGAATAGAATAAAAAATGAGAACTTTACATACATCTATATTCAAGTCTTTGTATAATGGAATAATAGAAATAATAAGTTTGAACAAGCATCTAAAAAAGATTAATTGAGTTCTAACCAATTTAAATTTCTTTCCTTTGAAATCTCCCTTTTTTCTTCCTCCACGTTTTCTTTGCCTAACATTTACCGGGTTCCACAGTGAAGCTAAAAGAGCTGACAAGAGATAGACATACACTTGGGCATATAAGTGCACGAACACCGTTAAGAGCTGTCTTTAAGTACAACCAACTCTTTGCATCTCCAGCAGTTGGCTTCATTGAAAATCCAGAAAGTTTATGGTAGCCATATCAATAATTAAGACAAACAGCAATGCAAGGCATATTCACTAAAAGTCCCCTTATGCTGACCTCATCATAAGCGCCAAATGCCTCCCTAGCGGCCTTCTTATCCCTAACTAGCAACTTAGCCCGTGTTTTTTTGACTATCAATGATGATATTATGATCATCTTTACACAGTATACTATCCACAAGTCAAAGTCAAGAATAGAAGAAAAAAATGAATAAACATGTCTTCTCCATATACAAACCTGACCAATCTCATGACACCCGTTTGTTACTAAAATTGCATCGCTCACTTGATCTTCATCTGCTTCTGCGATAGGATAGAGCAAGAAATATATAAATGTATTCTAAATATCCAATAAAGCTATATGAAGCTTAACCTTTCAGGTGTGAAGGTCCATATTTTAATGGGGTGGCTAGTGCCCCATAGCATCTCCTTGACTTTGGACCAACTAAAATGAGCCGGAAAAATCAAGTTGTCAATGTACATTCATCCTTATTTAGAATGATGACAAGATAATATAATGCATATGTCTCATTCTGGGGTAAGAGTGAACTTCGGGTCCAATCCGACTCAGAATAGAACACCAAAAAAGCTCAGGTAGTCAGGTACTCAAGTTAAGATCTAAAAGTCAATCCTAAAACTTATAATGTGCTTTGGTTAAGCTGATAGAGTGATAGTAAGTCAAGTTTTGGCGGGTTAGGGTCATCAAATATCAAATTTTAAAATTAATCAACTTTAGTTTGAGTAAAAGTACATTTTAACCCAATGTCAATAAAATGGTCAGAACTCAAAAATTCATCTTGTGAATGCATAAATATATGTCAACCTGAAATAGTTCAGGTTTTGAGTTGGGTTTTTCGTGTTTTTTGTAAACCTGAAACCCCAACCATGTTTTGATAATGTTTTGAAATCTTGGGTAAGGATTGAGACAATTATATTCAAATTCATTGCTAATTATAGAACTTCAGGTCAAATCTAATAAAAAAAACTTGCCTCAAACTATGTGCCCCCAACCTCATTCTAGCTTTGCTCAGTTGCGGATCTAGTAGCTGTATTTTGGGTGTTTCAAATAAATTTAAAAATTAAAATTTAAAATAATAATCTGGTGTAGCATGACAATTCTACAATTGTATCTTAGCCAACAAAAACTATTACATCGAGTGAAATGTAATATCAAAGTTCAAAACACTACAAAAAAGGTTCGACAATTTGTTAACCTTTGAAGCTCTAACAAATTTCGAAGTACTATGTAACATCTATCAATATACTACCTCCGTTCCTAAAAATTCTTCCCGGTTTGACTTGGCACGCCTATTAAGAAAGTGGAATAAAGTGGAAATGTGTGGTTGTGTGAGAAAAAGGTAAAATGAATGTGAGTCACACAAATTGTCCAAAAAGGGAAAGTGGGAAGAATTTTTTGGAACGGCCCAAAAAGAAAAGTGGGAAGTATTTTTGGGAACGGAGGGAGTATATTCCTCAAATCATGTTTTAATGTTTCTTTTGAAAAGTAAATAAGTAACGATATTATACAGAGAATGAATAACTCAATGCAAAGAGGATGAATGTTACTGCCTTCAAATGAAGCACAACAAAAACAAGTTTCCCATGTCTCTCTTGCCATACACTCCTTTTTATACAATACTACGAATATTATATTTGTCTCAGTAACAGTTCATGATATCAAGTTATTGATTATGAGCATGAGATATGTTTATTTTCAAAACTGGCGAAACTTTTGAACCTCTCAACCGAAGGGAGATAAAACGAATGCAGTGGGAGAATCATTCCGGATTCTAATTATACTTTAAATTCCATCAATCATAACTTTGCAAATTATAAAAATAGGAAAAGCAATTCAATCTAAAGAGTAATATTGATGAAAGTTCATAAAAATAAGATAAGCAATTCATTCAAATCTATCATTCCAAACTTTTACTAAGTTGCAGCTCATTAAGTCATTTACAAAAAATCAGTTTATGAATATTTCAGTTTAGATTTTAAAAGGCCAAAGTTGTTATTTAAGTCATTAAAACTGTTATTAAGTCATTAATAGTTTATCATTCCAAAATTAACAACCTAATTTTGGGTAAAAACTCGGGAAGGGAGGTAATAGAAATAACTCAGAAAGAGCAGGGAGACCTACCAGCTTCTTAAATTTGTAGGCTGGGACTCTGGGAGTCCAAAAGAGAAAGCGAGAACAGAGGACTAAGCTGGGTGGTCCGCTTGGGATGGAGGAAGGAACGAGTTCACGAGCAGGCGAGGTCCCGAGGAGGAAAGTAGCGCTGCCGGCGTCCAGCGGCCCAGTTTGAGGAGCGGCGAGGACGAAATTAAACAAAGACCATTACGCTCGCAGTGCACGCAGAGTAAAACGTCAGAGAACTTTTATTATCTTTAAAAAGAAAATTCCCACAACTATACACTACGAAATAGAATGCAAAAATAGAAAAAACAAAAGTTAAATGTTAACTCTCTTATACTCAATCCCTTGAATACGCAGCCTATTGAATCTGTGATATTATGAAAATAATTAGAGTGAATTCTCAAAGTAGAAATAAAACATAGACTAAATACAAAAATAGGATATACGTTATATTGTTTTAAATTCCCAAAATATGAGTAATTATGTTTCTTTGAACAAAAAAATTCCTAAGCTCTAGTGTCCCAGCCACCTGCTCTTGCCGCCGGCCATTGCCAATATATATCCTATCTTCGATTGTCGAAGTTTCGGCGCCACCTATCTTTGGAATTTCATCATCATATTTGGCACTTCAAAATGACACGTTTGCACAAAATGTCATCATTGTGCCCCTAATGTTATCAAGATGTCATTCCTGTTGGAAGTCTATAGAGACTCGTCAGAGGGCCGCGGCTCGTCGTACGATGGTAGTGGCGAACTCGCCAAAGGGTGGCATCAACGGCAAACTTGTTGGACAGTGGCGGAGGTGGTGTTGGACTCGGTCGGGCCACCCGACCCGGGAACCGGCCCGGTACCATAGGGGCCCGGCCCGGCTCGGGAACCGGGTACCGGTTCCGGGTCTAGGCCCGGTTTTAGGGTGTAACCGGGGGGGCGGTCCCGGGATAGGTGAAATGCGAACCGTCCTGGCCGGTTCCGGGACCGGTTCGGGCCTTTTTATTTATTTTTTATTTTTTTGGGTTTGGTCTGGGTTTAGTTGGGCTGGCTGTTTCCGATAGGGTTGGGGGATGGGGGAGGGGATGAAATAAATTAGAAAACAAAACAAAAAAATGGAACCAGAACCGGTAGACAACCGATCCCGGGCCTAAACCACAACCATCCGACCCGGCCGGGCCTAGGCCCGACCCGGACCCGACCCGGTCCCGGGTCCATGATTAGGCGGAGGGCAAGCCCTTAAACTTCTCTCATGGCGTCGTTGAACTAGCTTGGGAGTAGGGTTGTTAACGAACCGAGCTTTTATCGAACTATTCGAGTTCGAGCTCGGTTTCAAACCTAACGAGTCAAGCTTAACGAGCTCTCGAACTCGAGCTGAGTTTTAAGTTTGAAAAGTTAATCGAACCGAGCTCGAACATAGTAATATTCGGCTCGGCTCGAACCCGAGCCTATCCAACACCATGAAATTATAAATATATTTATATATATGTCAAAATTTAAATATAATTAGTACTCTGTATGATTTTATAAATTTAAATATATAATTATTAACGAACTGAATACTTGTCGAATCATTCGAGCAGGAGCCTATTAACGAGCATCACCTAAATTTTTAATTTTGGGCATATTTATCGAGTTTATCGAGCGCTAGATTCGAACATCGAACACATATCGAGCCGAACACGAACCTCATTTGTAAAGCTCACTGAGCTTCAAGCTCAAACCCGAACACCACTAATTCCTTATCGAGCCGAAGTCGAGCTTTGGGTGTTCGGGTTCGGTTCGGCTCGTTAACAGCCCTACTTGGGACCTGAGCCTGTGAAGGCTTTTAATTTTGTTTCAATAAGGATTGTCATCTTACTCCATTTTAAGCCTTACAAAACATAAAACCTTATCTGTGCACTTTATTATTTTAGTTCTATGGAATTCTCTACAGAGGTAAGGTGTTGTTGATATATTCACACCAATGAGCTTGATTAAATTATTATTTTTTACTCCAGGGGGGTCTGGGGAGGGGGTTGGGGGAGCTTGGAGTAATCAAAGTTGAAACTCATTCCATTGAGTTTCAAACCCTTATGTGCCTAGCGGGTTTCGAACTCGAGACCTCTCACTAAGCATGGTAACCTCACAACCAGTTGAGCTGGAATGCTTGGTTTGAGCTTGATTAAATTAAATACATACTTCTTACGTTTTTCAGTTAAATAATACGGACTACGGAGTACTCGTATAATATAACACAATGATTACAACAAGAACATGTGTCAAATCTAAATTGTACGTTGCCAAATTATATTCCTTTCAAATAAAATGCAGTTTTTAAAAAATCAGTTCATTCATACTATGCACTCAAAGTACAGCTTTGCATATATTGAATTAACATGCCATAACTTTGTCATTCACTACGAGAAGTAATTCTTTGTCCAGTAATCACAATGTCGGCTTCAATGATTTTTTCATTAGGCCTGCAAAACACTTCCTCCAATCCAAAACCTTCTCTTTTCCATTTACAACCTGCAATGCACATCACGGGAAAGTTTAGGGGACATGCACGTTTATTATGCTCAGTTATTTCAGCCGAGTCTGCTACACCCACAAAGTAAAGAGTTAGGACACGTTCGCTTTGCCTAAAAATGTGGTTTGATCTTTAAAATATGAAGTATCATGTTCTAGCCTGGCTTGAATATATATCTGAATGTTTGTGATATTGCCTATATTTATGTCTACTGAAGTTAACATCGAGGTGAAAGAGCAAACCTCAAATACCAGTCCGGTTTGTGGTACTGCATCCAGAGCCTCCACACATAAGAAGGCAGCATCTTCCTTGCTTAGTTTTCCAAGCCCTGCACTCCCCTAAGATGAAAAAAAAAGGTTCATTTGAGGTTAGATTTTCATTCACTGCTTTCATCTTAGGGGTGTGCAGGGCGTGGAAAACTTAGGGAGGAAGACTTAACTATTGAACTACCTCTTCAAAGCTGAAACCTTGCTGTCCACCAGGAACATTAGTCAATGAGCCGGTTCTAATTATGGTGCAAGGGATTCCTGATGCCAGAACAGCCCTTTCATCTTGCTCTGCTAGTTTTCTTGCGTTGCTAATCATCAATGCTTGAATACCACTAGCACCTCTATAAGCATATAACTGCAACCCTATCAAAATATATAATTAAACATGGCTACAACTGAAAGTGCCATATAGGCTAATATATGCACGAAGGTTATTGATTACCTGTGACAATAGGATGACATGTTGCAACCCATTCCAGCTCTGAATGTTAGATGCGGACCCCTCCTTCAAAATAAAAACTTTATAAGCATCATATTTTTAATGTGACTAATTAATGATGAGGAAGATGAAGGGCAGATCAAGTAGGTACAGCAAGGTTGTGAAGAGCCAACCATCATACAGTAAAATTGGGTAGGAAGGAAAATAGGTTTACAACATTGGTTTCACCATGGAAAATATAAAGGCAAATCAATTTTGAATAAAACCATTAACACTTTACATGTATTTATATAATTATATTTACTAGTCATTGTACACTTGTATAACAGTAATATTAAAAGAATGTCTGAAAATTTATCTAATTTGATTTACTACGTATTGAGTTTGAAACAGCTCTTAACTTTGCAACCAAAATTATTTCCTTACAAATCTCCCTTTCATCTTGCTCCACATTTTCTTTCCTGATATTTACCGGGTCCCAAAGTGACCCTGAAAAGAGAAATAGATGCATACACTTGAGAATATAACTGCACGAACACCCTTGAGAGCTGTCTTTAAACATGACTGGTTCTTCACATCTCCAACAATTGGCTTCATATAAAATCCAAAAAAGTTATAGTAGCCATAATAACAAGTAAGCAACCTGTGATGTAAGGCATATTCATCATAAGAAACCGTTATGCCTAACCTCAACATAAGTGCCAAATGCCTCCCTAGCAGCCTTCTTATCCTTAACTAGCACTTTGACCCGAGTTCTTTTGACTATCAATGACAATATAATCATCTGTACAACCCATATTGTCCTCAATACAAAGTCATGTATACAAAACATAATAAATAAACATGAACTCTTCAAGTACAAACCTGACCAATCTCATTATCCCCATCCGTTACCAAAACTGCATCCCTAACTTGATCTTCATCTGCTTCTCAGAAGGGCTTTATTACAATCTCATGGAGCAGGAAATATATAATGGATTTAAATTACATTAAATCTACCTGAAGCTTCACCCTCCATGTCCAGAGGTCTATCTTTCGAGAGGGTGTCTGGTGCCCCATACCATTTCCTTAACTTTGGACCCCCTGAAATGAGCCGAAAATAATTCCATGTTTAATGTACATTCATCCTTATTCAACTGATTATATGAGATATTGCATATGTCTAATTCTAGGGGTGACCAGGAGTTGGGTTCAGGTTTGATCCAAGGCCGAGTATATAATGCCAACAAGTTTGAGTTCTAAATTTTAGATCGCAAAAGCAATCTTAAAATTTAGGTTGCACTTTGGTTTCAGGTGTAGAGAATCAGGTTTAGAAGGGTTCAGAATTAAAAAAAATGATTTTTTAAACTTGACTAATTTTTGTCTGGATTTGAATTTCAATGGAATGTTAAAAAACACGAAAAAAATCAGAAATAACTCTTATTGAGGCATAATTATACGTCTCTGTCTAAGTGTCTAGCTGATACAAAAAAGTAACAAAAATATAAATACGATAGCCCTTTTAAAAAAAATATGTTGTCAACGAGTTATAAATAGTTCATGTTTCAGGATCACACTCTCTTTATTTTTGTAAACCTGAAACGTAACCCATGTTTTGATAGTTATTTTTAAATATTGAGTTGGTCTTGAGCCGATTACAAATGAACTCAACCCGCCTTGTAAAGTTTTGGATCAAATTGAATAATAAATCTAGTTGCCTTGAACTATACTCACACCTCCTTTATTCTAGCTTGCCGCAATACCGCACAACAATTAGTTTATTGAATACAGCCATCAATTGGAACATCAATAACACATTAATGATTTCAAGAATCATTTCAGCCTCGTATGCTGCAAGAACTTATGATGTGTGAAGCAAAAATTGTACATTCCAAGGCTATTTCAATGAATGACAAAGAGAAGTGGCAAAAGTATAGGAATATAGGATTAAACAACATCACTATGCTTCAAGTTTTACAGTATCTTATACCTTACAGTTTTTTTTTTGTTTGAATGATTTAAGCACTATAGCAGCTTCACTGAAGGAGCAATTTTCTACTAGGTATGCATTAAGATTGTTTGTTTGTGAGTTTCAGCAATCGAATGATATACTGAATAGCGAATACCAAACCTGAAGGAAAATGAAGAGCAAATATATTGGGACTGTTATCAATTTACCTTCAATATAATCAAGAATTTGGTCCATGAAACCTAATTTCTTCTTGGAAGCAGAACAAGCTAGTGAAGGATTCCGAATTTTACCATCTGAAATAACAAAATTGGAATTCTTCTTACACTTCCTGGATATGGAACAGTGCGGAAAAGAGAGTGGGAAGAAAGATGAGGTTGAGCTCGCCATAGCCCTTTAAAATGTCATCCTTTCATTTAGAGATGGCAATTTGGACCGACCCGTTGGATACCCGTATCGAACCGATTTGGTCAAACTGGGGAAAACCGGTTTGACTGAGGAATGGGTACGGGGTGGGGAATACCCGAATTTTTTAAATGGTTAATGGTGCGATTATGGTTCTATACTAATCCACCCCGTTATCCGTCCCGAAACCGCCCCGTTCACTAGTGTTGCGGGTACCCGCACCGTTACCCGATCGATAACATTATTAATAAATTATAACTTTTTAGATATAAGAATAATAACTATATATGCTAAATTGTGTATAATAAATAGTATATATCATATAAATAATGCTAAAAAGTATACTACTTTTTAAGGCCTAAAACTAAATATAGGCCTAAACCTATTTTTGAAATTTGGATTCTGGTATGATTACTACTTTTTTATTATGTTACAAGAGATATTGGGTACATGTCATACCAATGAATTTACGTCAGTCTGCTTGATTGCTTAAATGTTTATTTTTGTATGTTTTAGGGTGCTTTGAATATATAAATAACAAGTAGGATTAAAAATTGGTTATTTGTTTTCCCAAAAAAAGTTGGTTATTTGGTATCATTTGGGGAAACGGTTACCCGTGGATAAACCGATTCCCCGTTGGGGCGGGTACGGTTCAAATAAAAATTACCCGAATGGGTAATGGGGCGGTTTTGGGGCAAACATTTATGCATCGGGGCGGTTCCGGTTTTATGTGTACCCGTCCCCGATCCGCCCCGTTGCCATCACTACTTTCATTTCATTCGCTTGTGTATTAATATTTTTATACGTATTGTGTATTAAAATTTAAATATTTTATTTTTATACGTATTGTGTATTAATATTTTGAGCTTGTTATTTCCTAACATAAATTTTGTGTTATATTGAAAATGAATGAAGTATTTATAAAAAATGTGCATGTTAAAAGAAGTGATCATACATAATAGAATTTTTAAGCACATTAGAGAATTGAAATGATCTTTTGAAATTTTTATGTTCATTTTGTAAATTATGTGTGTTCATATTTTGAACTTCTTATTTCCTAACATTAAATTCGCATATTGAAGTTTATAGAAGTTGATTATAGATATAATTTAATGAGTTTTTGTAAGAGATAAAAAAAAAGTGAATTACTCCCTCCGTCCCATTGGGATATTCTCGTTCGGTTTATGATGTTTGACTGACGATAAAACAACTCGATCTCTGTTTACAATTGGCTTATTTTTAATAAATACGGAGTAAAATTTACATATTCAGAAACTATATTAAAACCGCTACAAAGCCTGATCAAGAAAAGTTCAATTTGATAAAAATTTGATATATAAAGTAAAAGATTAGGCGTGACCTAAGTTGACCAATGAATAGTGAACGGGACGGAGGGAGTACAATATATGAAATTGATATCACAATACTCATTATTCGACTCTTAATACTCAGTCGAATATGTTTCATGCTTAAGGATGGCAATGGGGGCGGGGGCCCGTGGGGAACCGCCCCGTGGGGAAGAGTTGGGGCGGGTGGTGGGGTGGGGCGGGTGGTGGGGTGGGGGAGATATTTTCTCCCCGCATAAATATGGGGCGGGTGATGGGTTATGCACTCCCCGCACCGTCCCCGCCCCGTCCCCCGTAATAATTAATAATAATCTCAATAATAATACTAATAATAATAGTAATACTAATACGAAGTAATTAAAATAGCATGGTGGCCCGGTGGGTTTAGTGGTTTCCTATCTAATGGATTGTGCGTAATGGATCTATCTAATTCCTGTTTAATAACTAAGCTATCTTGTAAAATTGCTTATCAAAATCATAAAGTAAAATGATTTTTTTAGAGATAAAATAAAATGAATTTGGGAAAGTTATAAAGTGATATTAGCTTAAACGCCTTAGGCACGGTGTGAAAGTTTTTTTCCTTTACTATTATAATGCATTAATTCTTTTCTTTTGAATGTCATCTTTATGATTGTAGTTAGGGCTCTTAAAATTTGGTGATCATATGTCGTCCTAGATGCCGTCAAATGACCATGATTGATTGAATGCAGGGTTTAAGAAAATATTATAGAGCTAATCAATGCTAATTTAGAGTTTGATAAAAATTACTAATTTAGAACGCGTATAATGTGTTCTAGATTTGAAATGGGATGTAAGATTACATTGACACTTAAAAAGTAAAAAAAAAAAAAAATTGGCTACTAGAAGTGTTGTTAAATTTTTGAAAAATTGTCAGAATCTAAAATGATGTTACTTTTTGACGAGTACTTCCCCGTTGGGTACCCGTGGGTCTAGCGGGTCGGGGCGGGGGATGGGGCGGGTCGAATAGTAGTGGGGGATGGGGCGGGGGTGGGGGTGATTTTTTAGACACGGGGCGGGGATGGGGGAGTGAACCCCCGCCCCAACCCCGCCCCATTGCCATCCCTATTCATGCTCATTAAAAGTGTATAAATGCTCATCTAACGAAAATCGCGATTTTCACTCAAATTACGAAAATGTCACCGTTTTTAGTTGTGATATCAGCTTTCTTGTAATAACACAGTACTCATTATTACACGCTTAATACTAATCAAAATTGGACTATTTCTCATTAACAATACACAAATGTTCATTTAGCAGAAACCGCGATTTTTACATTTTTACATTAACAATACCGAATTATTTTTCTATTTTTCCATTGGGCCTGTAACTGGGCCAGCTGTACGGTGCTCACCATACAGCCGGTGGTACCATATACGAACTCCTACCATGGATGTCCATGTCAGCAATCATCCGGCTAACTGGTAGATGACCTATAAAAATGCCAATTTGGTGATTTTTTTCATACTTCCACGACTTAATTGACTTACTAAAGAGTATGTGGAGTTGATTGACTTTTTGTTAAAAGTAGATGGACCTATTTGACAGTTTTCCCTAATTTTTTTTTGGTACAAAAATTAAGAAAGTGTGATAGAAAGACTAAATAACTTTACCTCATTGCAATATTCATCCTTTTACTTTTATTGTTCATTAAAAAGGAGCGTATAAATGATAATCCACTTTTAGTTCTTTACTAAAAGGGAAACAACACTATCATTTTGACACATCTCAAAAAGGAAATACAAGACCGTCATTTTGGGACGTAGAGAAGAAGCGAGAATCATTTTTTTGGCATGTGGACATTTTTAACAGTATGCAAAATGAAATATGAAATGCATGAGTGATCATAGGTAGTAAGGTCCATACGGAGAAAGTAAGTAGTACACTCCCTAGTCCGTATGAATAAGATGAATTTTTGGCTAAATGACCAAATAGGCCTTGTACCGAGCGTATAAGTTCAATTCAGTCCCTAAATTAAAAAATGATTCAATTCACTCTCTGAACTGACCAAAAATGATTCAAATTTCATTTTTTACAGGTAAACAATTGGTCGTTTTTTTAATTTTTTTATTGTTTCTGTTTTTTGATTTTTGATTTACCGAGCGTATAAGTTCAATTCAGTCCCTAAATTAAAAAATGATTCAATTCACTCTCTGAACTGACAAAAAATGATTCAGATTTCATTTTTTACAGGTGTTGGGATAATGGCCCAGGCCGAGGTCCGGCCCATTAACCCCTTTTTTCTATCGGACGCACGTCATGCTAGGACCAGGCTGGGCGCAGGCCCATGACCCTTGGGAAGAGACGAACGTCTGAATTGGGGGGTCCAAGTTTCAAACGGCCCATCGCGACGAACGTATGTGCAGAGGTAAGGGGCAGGACCACTGGCCATCAGGGATAACGACGAACGTCTCCTGGGCAGGCCCATGACCGTCAGGGGACGAACAGCCGAAGTCTCTTGAGGGTCACTTGGAGTGACCCAGCTCACCCCCTGGCGGACGAACGTCCCCATTATTTAGGCGGGAAACCTAGATTCTGGCGGGAAGTGCATTTAATGCAGAAGATTTGGTGGTTGGGACACAAGCGGTCCGCAGGCCTCCACGTCAGCATAGCCACCTGCCCATTGGCGGGTATAAATAGAAGCATTTATTTCATTGTAAAGGGTTGGCAACTTTCTATTATTAGCACTCTAGCTATAGCATTCTTACTCGCAGCACTTCTACTGCCTTGTAAGACGAACGGCCGACGGAGCCTTAGCGAAAAGTATTGTATTAGGGAGTTATTAAGAGATAATAATACCTAGTCAGTTACTCGCTACCTTACTGCTTTCCCAATCCATATCATCTGCTTGTTGGGCTAGTTTAATCACATACTCCATTCGAAATCCTTGGGCTTACGTGTTGGACCCGGGGGTTGAAGGAATAAACCTCAACACTGGCGCCGTCTGTGGGAAACTGAACTAAAAGTTTCCAAAAAACTCTCCCAAACAGCTACTCAATCTACCCACAGCAAGCACGATGACAAGAAACAACCGCCAACGCGACCTCTCCGAGCAGTTGTCCCGCGGACGAAGCAACCGCGGGCAAACCACGGAACGCTCCGAGACGTTGGGGACGACTGGGGGTGAGGGTGGCCTCACAAACCTCATCCCCCATGAGGCCAAGCATGACCCTCGACTCATGAGGGAGCTGGCAGAAACAATGCGCCGAATGGCGGACGAACAGGAGGCGAACGAAGAGGTGTATTCAGCTAACACCATCTGGACGCCCATATCACCTATCCACCGCATGCAGTCCCTGGACGAGACAGTGGAATCTGCCGGGCGTCGAACGCCCATCCACATGAGGTTGGGTCAAAATCCGTCCTCCCACGAAGCTGGGGGGCACACTAACGCCAGCACCCCTCGGTATGGTTGGCAGGACGATCATCGGGGGCGTACGCCGGACTTTCCCTCAGAACGTCAGGGCACCACCATTGCCCCCGCTGCCAGTAATATTGGACGACGTTTCCAAAGGCATGGTGCCCATATTATCCGGAGGCAACCCGACGCGGTTGTCCCTCGAAGGAACATTGCGCTCGAGGCCGCCCCTCCTGTGTCCCCCGGAAGGGCCGCACAGGA